CTTAACTTTGAACTTTAGAGTCTAAGGCTGTTGTATTTGCATACGATAGTGCTATGATTATCTGAAATTTTCAAAAAATCATTGCAGTTTATAGAGTTTGCTGCCAAGCAAACATGCTTAAACCCAGAGTATAAATCTGTTATGGTAAGCATGAAGGTTGGGTGGTGGTAGAATAAACTGTTGAGATCGGTGGATATATTTCCAAAGAAACAGAAGAACAATGAGCCTTCTGAAAAAACTGTCCCAGGTCTCTTTACGAGTCCTTCTTCTGGGCTGACTTCGTTCCACGACAAACCCCCACTAACACCAGAACTCCAGTAGCATATTAAAGATTAACATGTATTCCAATGTGAGCTCACTACAGTCTGGGCTCTCTGCATCAGATACATAGCATGCCCACCTAAACCACCAAAGTATATGCTTCGAGCTACAAGCAACAGATAGGCAGGTGTGGGCTGGAATCAGTCTACAAGGAGCCACAGGCTTTCCGTTTCATTTTGCTGTAACAAGCTAACACGACTACCTCTAGGATTATTTCCATTGTCCAGAGTGGCACATGCAAGGGATAAGCATCTTTGAGGTCTGATCATTCCTAAGCATATTCAAGAAGAAACATGCTTCCAGTTTTTCTAGCTCTGGGGTTTTGGGAGAAAATGCACTAGGCAGGCAGGCACTTCTTACCTTACTTTGGTTTGTTCAGCATGCTAACTCTGCAAAGCCAAGGGTACCTACCTGCAGCCATGAGGTGTAACAGAGGGAGCAGCCACAGCTCTATGGAGCAAGCCATTGGGAAAAGAAATGCAGCAGGTGAACTTTGGGCTGCACCTACACTGGCAGGCAGAATGAAGGTTATAAGCCTCGCCCAGAAAGCAGCTGGGAGGGGACCCACGCTGAAAAGTCGCATTCATATTGAGCTGTGGCATAAATCTGGAATTAGGAAATGATGCTTGTTTCTTAGGGGGATAAATCCTATTGAACTCAGTCCCAGGGGCTACTTTAGTGTTGCCAGCCTCCAGGTGGGGCCTGGAGATCTCCTGGGATTACAACTGATCTCCAGACAACAGTAATAAGCTCCCCTGGAGAAAATGGCTCCCTTGGAAGGTAGACTGCACGGCATTATACCCTGTTGAGGTCCCTCCCCTCTCCAAACCCCACCCTCCCCAGACTCCACCCTCCAAATCTCCAGGTATTTCCAAACAGGAGTTGCCAACCCTAGGCTAGCCATGTTACAGCAAAACTGGCACCGAATAGCATAAGTGCACTCACTGGATAGGATAAGTGCTTTTTGACATGGCATGAGGAGGAGGAGGAGGCAGGCTTCCTCCCTTTGAGGCAGGAGGCAGGGAAGGCTGAAAAGGGTATCTAAGACGAGAGGGGAAGATGCACAAATAGGGTTGCCAACTCCAGAGAGGGAAATTCCTGGAGATTGTGTAGGTAGAGGCGGGACAGAGAGGTGAGTGGGGTATAAATGCCATAGAGTCCACCCGCCAAAGCAGCCACTTTTCTCCAGGGAAACTGATCCCTGACACATGGGGATTAGTGGTCATTCCGGGAGATCTCCAGGTTCCACCTGGAGGTTGGCAATTCTACATGGCGACGACAGTGAGGCAAAATTATGCCCTGGCCGGTGGAACTCTGGATCCACAAGGGAAACGAGCACTTGACCTGGAGCAGTTTTTCTCTAGCAAGTAAGTGAAATACGCCTCCGACACAAACAGCCGCAGGCGCTAGGACGCTTGCAAGGGAATGACTGGCGAACTGCAGCCTCGAACTCCCACCACGTTTTTACTTGAATACTCGTAGTGCTGCGCGATGCCGCTAGGCTATTTTAAAAGTCAGTCGAATCATGTTTCAAGAGAGCGTAAATGAATTGTTTTTTCTCCCCGCAAGAGGCGCAAGGAGGTGAGTGTGCGTGGTTGTCTGCGTTCTGTCGCTTGTGTGGTCGCCTACCAGAGCAAGTACTTCGGAAGATTTTCGGATACTGTCGACCCGAAGAAGCTATGGACGTTTACTTGCAAGCAGATCTCATTGTGTTCGGGTAGAGCTCAATCTCAGTTAAGTGTGTGTAGGGCTAACCCTGTGCGAATTTAATACCGTGTGCTCCCACTGGGGCTTGCTTTCGGTAAAGGCTGCGTCCCTCCCACCTAGGGTGCAATCCTGCTCATATTTACGGTGGCGTAAACCCTGCCGGATTAACTGGGACTCACTTCCGGATAAATGTCTTAACTGGACGCCGTTTACCCCGTGGCAGTAGGTTTTGCATAAAATCCTTGCATGGAATCCAGAGTGAAATTTCCCGCTTGAATGTAAAGGTGAAAATATTTGATAAGAGTAAAGTTACCATATTTTGAAAAACACGAAAGAGGACACATTTCCCCACTGACTACTCCTTCAAATAAGTGATCACTATGACAAATCTCTTTTCAAATACCCCTATGATATAAGATGTGATAATTGCTACTAACTAGGAATATTTCCAATCTTCCAACCCCAAAAGAGGACATTTTCATCAGTATTATTATTATTATATTTTTTAAAAAAAAGAGCCCAAAAGAGGACACCAAAAAAAGAGGACATGATCTGGCAAGAGGGGAAATCATTTCTTGCCCTAGTGTGGCAGAGTGATTAGTATGTGGGAATAGGACTACGAATCTGGATTGGTTGGTCAAAGTCCCTCTCTGCCACAAAGTTTACTAACCCTTTACCAATCATAGGGTGGCAAACTGCCTACGGGGGAAATGCCCTACCCTTTTAATCGAGGCTTAATGGGATGTTATTTATCTCCATGCCATGAAAAACTTAACCTGCCCATCGTATGTGGGCAGAACATTTTTCTCTAATTGTGTGGGCCACTCTAGCCAGTCTTGCTTTCATCTTAACCAACCTAGAATCATAGAATTGGAAGGGACCTCCAGGGTCATCTAGTCCAACCCCTCACAATGCAAGAACTTCACAAATACCTTGCCCCCCACCCCACCCCCAGTGACTGCTGTTTCATGCCCAGAAGATGACAAAAATCCTCCAGGATCTCCAGCCAAACTGCTTCCTGGCCCCAAAGTGATCAGCATTTCCCTGGGCGTGTAAGAAGGGCCACAAAAACTAAGCACTGAGGCAACCCTTCCTGCCCTCCCTCTCATGATCTACCTAAGTTCACAGAATCAGCACTCCTGACAGATTCAGGCCTCTGTTTGAAAACCTCCAAAGAAGGAGAGCCCACCACTTCCCAAGCAAGCCTGTTCCACTGAGGAACCACTCTGTCAGAAAGTTCTTCTTCCTAATGTTTAGCTGAAAACTCTTCTGATTTAATTTCAGCCCATTGGTTCTGGTCCAACAGAAAATAACTCTGCACCATCCTCTATATGACAGCCCTTCAAGTACTTGAGGATGGTTATCATATCACCTCTCAGTTGCCTCCTCTCCAGGCTAAACATACACAGCTCCTTTAACCTTTCCTCATAGGAATGTTGTAAGGCTGAAATGTACAAGCAAAGTATCCTTGGGAAAATGATCGGTTCGGGCATTTCAGGCATTTTCTTGAGCACCACCAGCTGAAAATGCAGTATACTGTTTTGCACAGTTGACAATTGATTTCTTTCAAAGCTATGGTTATTTATTGAAAAGCAAGAGTGATCACAGTTACATATTGCCTAGGTTTCCACTCATACCCAGCTACTACAGATTTAGGGAAGGAGCTGAGGCGGCTCAGGGGTGGAATGTCTGCTACCTGTGCATAGGTTCCTCGGTTCAACCCCTGGCCTCTCCAGATAGGATTAGGTAGCAGCAGATATGAAAGGCCGTTATCTGAGACTCTAGAGACCAGCTGACGGTCAGATTTGAAAATACTGACTAGATAGACCAAGGGTCTGACTAAGCTTAATGGAGCTTCATGTGCTCATAACATGAATAAAACTTTGTTATGTACATGGACCGCCTCCAGGGGTCCGCGGACAGGCCAGAGCTTGGATCCGAAAACAAAGGAAAGTTTGGATCCTGGATTCCCCAGCCCCAACCAATAGCCACCTTGGCGGGACATTTAAACCCTCCAATGGGAGTGGGGGGTGGTGGCTGGTGGATATGTATATAGTTGGCCCTGTTGGCCGTTAGAGTTAGTCTTTGTCTATGTAAAGTACAATAAACGTGTGCTACAGCATGTTGTTGTCCGAGTCCTCCATACGTCGAACCCAGTACTTTTCAACTTGATCACCAGTTTTGAGAGAAAAGACAAAGACTAGGTTTGTGCTATGAAACAGTTCATCACAAAATACAAGGCCATATGATCAGCTACTCCTAGCTATGGAAGGCATTGCGTTATAGAATTGGTGGGAGTGAAATTGTCAGGGGGGAAATCAAGCTTTATGAGTCATCTCCTCTCAGACATACAGCAGTCCTAGAAATATTTTCTCAAGTCACATTAAACTGACAGTGACTTGCTTAAAGTGTGTTTAGTGTGGCAGCCATACAGCCTGTGCTTGTTATGTCTGACTCTGAGTGGGGCTTATTTCCATGAAAAATAAGCACAGGATTGTGTCCTATCAACCTAATCTCCTACAGAGTCAGGCTTGCCTAAACCCAATGATTGCAGTGAATTTATGGACACCTGCACTCTGCCTAAGATCCAGCTCTTAAGGACATCTCTTTAAAGGCCACAATCCACTCTGCAGCACGAGAGACTAAAATGGAACGGCTTAGCCATCTTATTGGTACCACTGAATTGTGGTGCATCAGAAATTATGTCAGGCATCTGTTTCATATTCTTATGAAATGCTTATGTTTTGAATTCCTGGCATAAAGCACTGTTTGATTTAGCTGAGGAAGAAAATGAAGAACTCAAAGCCACAGCTGGAATTATTTGTGCTTCTGTCTTCAAATACTTCAGCTGTGTTTAGGATATGATTACTACCTAGCCACAGAATCACAAGCAATTCTATTGGACAAACAAAGGACAGTGAAAACAAACTTAACAATTTTATTATAAAAGAAAATCTTTCAGACATTCAAGTGTGTACAAGTAAAATCCCTGTGAATGCTGCCTGTGTTCTTCTATCCAACCATGGATCTCTTTCTTCCTCTTAGACGTACTTCATCCAGCTTTTTAATCACAGGGGCTGATTTTTTAGATGTAGCTGAGTACTTCTTCAAGAGTGCTTCAAACAGAGCCTCTGTGTTTGGATGGGTACTCAGAAAAGCTTTCTCCAAGACATACAAATCAACTCCCTTATCCTCAGGAAGGGCAGAAATAAAACTCAATCCAAAATCTATCAGTACCAGCTCCAATTTTTCTGCTGGTGGTCGCAAAAGCATATTGGAAGTTGTAAGGTCTCCGTGTATAAGATCTTCATCATGCATCCGTGCCAAAACCTCACCTATCTTCTCTACTACCGTTATAAGGCTGCTGACATCCTTTCCGGATTTCTGTACAGAGATAATATGGTCCCGGACAGTAAGTGATCCCACAATATCTTCAAGATATATACAGTTGACAGTGTAATCCACAAAGTACACCACAGGTGTAGAAATCCCTAAAAAAACAAAAAAGGGTTGTATTACTTTGGTCTTAAATAAGGTATTACATGCCTTTTGCTTTAGTTTTGCTATGAATCAGTGCAGAGATCCACATCTTTTATTACTAGTCCTTAGCTTTATGCTGTGTGCATGTAGTAATCGGAACATCTAAAAGTTTATCAGAAAGACTGCTCCAGATAAGCCCTTTTTTGTGCAGTGAGTACAGAGAGCATTTCGAGTTCATAATGCTCATTTTGCCACCTTCAACTAGTAAAACTTTAGGGGACTAATGCAAGTCCTCATTTTCCCTTCTAACTTAAATCACCACTGCTTCTTTAATGCCAAGTGCAAGACAATGGCTGCTCAAACTGAGATCAACAGAAGGGCCAACATCATAACCATCAGCCAGCCCCCAAGTCAGCCTGTCGCTTCTTCTGCACCCTTCCTCTGTAGGGAAGACTCTGGAACTTGAAATGTTATTTATTGTCATGGGCCAGAAAATATGACAACAGAAATCAACCATATCTTATGCTACCTCTGATATGTAAGTTGTGAGCTGCTCCAGGCCCCTATCAAAGCTGAAAAGTGGGGTATAAATAAAAAGAGCAAACATCAGAATGCAGGCCTGTGTTAAACAGGGCTGCATTATAGGGACATCATGCTGCTTCTTTAATGCCAAGTGCAAGACAATGGCTGCTCAAACTGAGATCAACAGAAGGGCCAACATCATAACCATCAGCCAGCCCCCAAGTCAGCCTGTCACTTCTTCTGCACTGCACCCTTCCTCTGTAGGGAACTCTGGAACTTCAAATGTTATTTATTATCATGGGCCAGAAAATATGACAACAGAAATCAACCATATCTTATGCTACCTCTGATATGTAAGTTGTGAGCTGCTCCAAGCCCCTATCAAAGCTGAAAAGTGGGGTATAAATAAAAAGAGCAAACATCAGAATGCAGGCCTGTGTTAAACAGGGCTGCATTTGGGACATCGTGGGCAGGCTCTTCCTTTCTTCAGTGATTCATACTCAGAGCGGAAAGGCAGCCATCCCTAAAGCTGTGCCATCAAAACTACAATCACCCATCCTGGCTTCTGGAAATGGGAGTTTGGAAAGAGAAGAGGGTGGAAGAGCAGGGGATAGGGTGGGATAGAAGTGTAATAAAGGTAAAGGTTCCCTTGCTTGAAAGCCAGTCGTGTCCAACTCTAGGGTTGCGGTGCTCATCTCCGTTTCAAAGTCGAAGAGCCAGCGCTGTCCGAAGATGTTTCCGTGGTCATGTGGCCAGCATGACTAAACACCAAGGCGCACGGAACGCTGTTACCTTCCCACCGAAGTGGTACCTATTTATCTACTTGCAATTTCTTGCTTTCGAACTGCTAGGTTGGCAGGAGCTGGAACTAGAGACGGGAGCTCGCTCCGTCATGCTGCACACTTGGGTCTCGAACTGCCGAACTACCGACCTTCCACAGCCTGCAGTTAAGCGTCTTAACTACTTGAGCCACCGCAGCTCCTAGAAGTGTAATAAATAAATATAAATAAATATATAAGGAGTCAGGTGAAACACAGCACTGGTGGGAAAGCCATATGCATAAAACAGGCCTGTGGCATTATTCTCCAAGGTCGATATTTTTTACCAGCATTACCAGAGCACTGCTCAGGCATCTTCAGACACAGAGCTTTTTGACTCCCGGCAGGTTTAACAAGAGGCTTTGAAGCAGTGGACTGCAATAGAAACAGATCTGGAGCACTCTCCAGTCCCTAATATTTGATAATAGAACCAAGAACCTGGCTACCTAGAAATCAAAATCCAACACTGCAGACATACAGCAGGGTCGCAGTTTAAAGATCCATACAGTTGGTGACACACGGCGCAAATGCAACCCTCAGCAGAATTCCACCACTTCTAAATCCACACTGACGTCTGCCCAGCATTACACTGACAGTCCGCAAAGGACACCACAGGCGCCCCACATCCTGGCCCCACAGTGCAGAGGTCAGATCGGGAGTGGGGATGTTGGAAATATTATTCTTGCAACTCCCGGGCAGAGGTGGATGCAAATGTACCCTCTGCACCGCCCCAGGAGGACCCCTGTGAATGTCCATCCTTCACCTCTCGCCAGGGAGGGGGATATTCATGCAGCTCTCTTTCGTTAAGATTGCGGGAGCGGGGCAGAGCACGTGACACCCCCCCACCCCGCTTCTTCTCCCGTCCAATCCCGGCACAAGCCCCGCCCCCACCTGCCCGTCGGCAACGGAGTAGCGAGCGGGCCTCTTGCGCTGTCCGTTTGCGGCTCAACCGTTCTTCCAGCGCTGGGTGCCGGTAGCGCTTGGGGAAGCGGAGCTTCATCATTGTTGGCCGGCCCAAGAACAAGCCGCGGTAAAGCCTGGCTTCGGCCCCCTGCTGGACCAGCTGTAGGCCCGGCATTGGCGGAGGAGCCGCCTCCGGCTCAGCTGCGGCCGCGCTCCCTTCCCCGCCTGGTCCCGCCATGATGACAGAAAGGCCGAGTTTCTCATTGCGCGTGCGCGAAGTTGTACGCGTCGCACTATACGAAAGTTCCGTACGAGGAGGCAGGCGGCGCAGTCCGTGTATTTGACAATCGTTAGGGCAGGTTTCCGGGAGGGAATCTAATCTAGAATATGATCAGGATGTCCCCCCCCCCCGCGGTCTCTTCCAGTGACAGTCACTTCGAAATAAGCGTGCATGAGATTGCAGTCGTGGGAATAAACCTCGTCAGATTTACATCCGAGTAAATATGAGCTGCGGTGGCTCAAGTGGTTAAGACCCTGAACTGCAGGCTGTGGAGGGTCAGTAGTTCAGCAGTTCGAGACCCGGGTGCCGCGTGATGGAGTGAGCTCCCATCTCTAGTTCCGGCTCCTGCCAACCTAGCAGTTCGAAAGCAAGAAATTGCAGGTAGATAAATAGGTACCACTTCGGTGGGAAGGTAACAGCGTTCCGTGCGCCTTGGTGGCCACATGACCACGGAAACGTCTTCGGACAGCGCTGGCTCTTCGGCTTGGAAACGGAGATGAGCACCGCAACCCTAAAGTCGGATTCGACTGGCTTTCGAGCAAGGGAACCTTTACCTTTACCTTTTAAAATATGCATACTTTTGAGTTGCGCTGTCATCAGATTGTCACTGCAGGCTGTGGAAGGTCGGTAATTCAGCAGTTCAAGACCAGCGTGCCGCATGACGGAGTGAGCTCCCGTCTCTAGTTCCAGCTCCTGCCAAACTAGCAGTTCGAAAGCAAGAAATTGCAAGTTGATAAATAGGTACCACTTCGGTGGGAAAGTAACAGCTTTCCGTGGGCCTTGGTGTTTAGTCACACCGGCCACATGACCACGTAAATGCCTTCGGACAGCGCTGGCTCTTCGGCTTTGAAACTGACATGAGCACCACAACCCTAGAGTCGGATTCGACTGGCTTTCGAGCAAGGGAACCTTTACCTAAACATGCATACTTTTGAGTTACGCTGTCACCAGACTCAGCGGGGATTAGTTTTGGATCCGCTTGGTTAGAATTGCGTGCGTTCTTCCGATCAGGCTGGAGTGTGTTCGGTGCCAGGCGCTGTACAGCCCGGACAGTCTTCACATGCAAAACTTGTAGCCTACTTCAGCAGGTTGTTGTGAATTTAACATGGGGAAGACAGAAGGAAGAGCAGGGTATAAGGATGATGGGTAGAAATAACAAATGAGTGGACTACCCCGGTACAGTTGTAAAAGTCAAATAAGTGGGCTAAAACAATTAATAGATTCTGTGGAGAAGGTGCTATTCCTGTTGACCATCCATCCCAATGCAGGTGATGGATACTGAGATAGACTGCAATTAAGATTTCATTTGATGGGCATGTCTGTATGGGAACATGAAGTCCTTCAGATGCCTCCTGGGCCCAGGCCCTTTCGTGCTTTATAGGTCAAAACCAGCATGTCAGATTCTTTCTAGAAACAGACTAGAAGTGGTGCTAAAGCAGGTTCCCCTCTTTTGAAATTTTCAGGTTTTACAGCTCTGCAATAATACTCTTTCTGTTTCCAGTCTGCACTTCCAGTCTAGAACCCCATCCTAAAATGTCTTGAAGATTTACAGCCTTCTTTCTTTCCTTTGGCTACACTAACTGAAGCCATCAGTGGAGCCTCATGCCTAATTGGGGTGCTTTGTTCGGCTTTTCACAAAAAGTGTAACGTTGCAAAATATTAAAGTCATCTTCTCAAAAATTAAGGCAACTGAAAACAGCTGCACTAGTTAATGACTTTTGAATCAAAATGATATGGTCTCAGAATTACAGACGTCCATGTGTAAAACTGGCTGGGTGTGGGTGTTGTCAAACTGGCACAGTTTTGACAAGACAGGACTGGATTCAAAGCCCTTACCCCTTCCAGATGTTTTCTTGGAAACATCTGACTACCTCAGACATGTTGTTTGGTATGTGTGTGGGCTCACACACCAAACTGCCTCAGTGCTATACCTGAAGCTGCTTGGGGGGTGCAATAAGTTTGACCCCACAGCACCCTTTTAAACTGATCTGTAATATGTGGGTTTTAAATTGTAATATGCTGGGTTTTGTTGTATATTTAACTGTTGGAGGCTGCCCTGAGCACTATTTGGTGGGGAAAGGAGCAGGATATAGGTTGAATGAATGAATAAATAAATATATAGAAACAAATGTGCAGCTGTTCCCACTTACTGGCTTGCAAATAAGGCTTGATTTAAGGCATAGCTGCTCTGTAGTTAGCAACCCAGTTTAAACAAGACTACGACATCCTGTGGGAATGCATTTGCCTTATTGCCATATTGCCTTATCACTGTCATGTTTCAGTCAAGAGCAGTGGTGGAAAGTGCCATCAAGTTACAGCCGACTTATGGCAACCCCGTAGGGTTTTCAAGGCAAGAGATATTCCGAGTTGGTTTGCCATTGCCTGCCTCTGTATAGCAACCCTGGACTTCCTTGGTGGTCTCCTATCCAAATACTAACCAGGGCTGACCGGGCCTAGCTTCTGAGATCTGACGAGCTCAAGATAACTTCGTCTATACATGTCAGAGCTCAGTCAAGCCTACCCTCACAGAAATTACTTGCTCTCAAAGTATTTTACTAGTCCATCACATGCCTTTATTAATCCTTTGTAGCTTACAATAAAAAGCTGGTTAATTGAAGAGTCTTGTCACTGCGGGAAACCAGGTAACGGCTCCACCGTAACAGCCATTTAGAACCCAATGCCATGTTATAATAGCACTTAACCTGACTCCTGGTTTTCCAGTAGCATAAACATGTCTTGTGCTTGCAGTTATTTGTGTTTGTGGGCTTTGTGCAAAGGCACTTTGTGTACAAAGAAAGGGGAGAGAAGATTTACCATGAAAATTCATTGTCTTCCCTTCAAATCTAAGTAATTATGCCTATTCCCCATTAAATGTTTCGTTTCAAGAAAATTGTCTTGCCCCAGTTGGTAAACAAATACCACTGCTCTGAGTAGATGCAAGGGTATGGAGCCCTCTGCTGGCCAGTTTTAGAACTAGCACAAGATTTTGAGTCAGGTGAACATTTCTGCTCTGAACTTCGGAGGAAGCTTTTCTTAGTTGCTTATAGATATTAGGCTAATAAAGCTATGAAAAATCTAATGAGGGCTACAAAAGAAGTCTTTTGCATGCAGTACCCTATTATTCATATTCAAAAATAAATACCTCACCAAATTTGCATGCTTTATGATCTTCCAGCTACATTCTCATCATGAAGTAATAATGAGTGGTTAAAATCACATGTCAATCACCAAGTGTTTTTCTAGATTTGGCAAGAGGATAAGGATGGGCTTAGCTAATTTAATGCAAAAGTCCATTAGAGTAATGAGAAATAACTAAGGAAGCTGACGAATACTTTGTGAAAACATTGCAATCTCAATCTCTCCTTATATATAATTGAATAGTGGGTGCCAAAGTTCTAATTCTAAAATGCACTCCCTTAGTGTATGGCTGATGGCACTGCTCCTCAGCATATATCGCCACCAATCAGAAGGCAAAGCCCGGGTCCCGCCCACACCACAACTGCTGCAACAACCTGGTCTTTTGCATATGGAAGCTGTTAGATAATACTGATAAATTAAGGAGGTTTGAATAAAATTTATACATCTCTTTCTTACATGCAAACATAGCAGTTATATGTAAAACATAGCTTTTGTTTTCAGAAGGGCTGTGGTTTAGTGGTAGAGTATCTGTTTTCTATACAGAAGTGCCAAGATTCAATCTCTGGTTAAAAGGTAGGAGGTGATGTGAAAGACCTTTGCCTGAAACCCTGGAGAGCCATTGCCAATCAAAGTGGACAGCACTGGCTTGGATATACCAATGGTCTGACCCAATATAAGGCAGTATCATATATTCTTAACATGCCCTAGAATACTTAGTGAATTCCTTGGCAAACTTTCAGTTGTTACTCAGCAAGCAAGTTGATATGGAACAAGTTCCTGGAAACAGAAGGCTGGAAAACTTCTACAATATTGGATAATGCCTAAAGCTGCCAAATCTTGCCAGACTCAAATACCAGCTGTGATGGTTGTTGCCTATGGGACATAGGGCTATATGGGTATGTTTTTTAAATTTTACTCTCTCAGACTGAAGAGATTCTATGAGATAAAACTAGATGAGTAAAACAGGATTCTGGCTGTAACTGATTTTGAATTCCATTTGTAACATTGCCTTGTGTCATATTAGCTAAGCTGCAAACCATTTCATTTTTATTTTTATTTTTGTCAAGGTACTTAAAATATTTTTTTTTAAAGAAAATGAATGTCATTTGCAATTGTGTGGTATGTCGAGGGAACCAAGAATTAAACTTTGTTGGTCTTAAAGGTGCCACTGGACTTGAACTTTGTTCCAACACAGCTACCCACCTGAATCTGTCCTGAAAAACATTTAGCTTAAGCAAACTGAAAGCAAGTCAGTGTTTGTTTTCAAATATAATTTAAGTGCAGTGAGGAATTGTGAGAGGAAATAATCCGATAGCAAGAATTTAGGCTGTCTTTTTCTCACGAGGCAGCCTGTGCTCTCTGTTTAAGAGGAATCACATCACATAAGTCATTCTAATGCTGCACAGTGCTGTGTATCATAAAAGCCACTAGTGTTCACAACAATGGGAATCTTTCCAGTTTGAAGTTTCTATTTCTGGATGTCCCACACTGATTACACACCGTGGTATAAGAATTTTTTTTTAGTTGCTGAACTTAGGGACATTTCCTATCTCTTGGAAAATAAATGTTAAAAATGTTAGAAGAGCATTTATTGTTTTCAGTGGTTATGTCAGTGTCTTGGCATTTATTGTTTTCAGTGGTTATGTCAGTGGTCTTGGAATGTCACTCCAAACCACAACTAAAATCATTTTCTTTAATTATAATATGATTTTAGTGCATTGTTAATACAGAAAAGTTAATAACATGAGACCTAAACAAAGGATTAATTATAACTGGCATCATCTCAGCTCTTTTCCACTTTCATCCATAGGACTTGAAAGCATTTTGTTTTAGAAG